TTAATAAAGTTGGAAATGCAACAAATTAAATATTTTTCTTTATGATTAAACATTATAATAACTTTTATAGGTCGAATTTATCTAGTATATATATATATACTAGATAAAAGTTCGAGGTTTAATGGAGGAGTTCTCGCAGTAATACAATCTATTTTGTGAGGCTCTATAGGTTTAAAGTAGTATTTCAACATCAAATTATAGGAGATCAAGTTTTAAAAGAGGAGTTCTAGGTTCTAATTCCGTAAAAATAGGTTCATATAGGCTGTATGAGCATTAAAAGAGACGCTAAATTTCGACTCGGGAATGCTGCAACTATTGATGGTTACATCGGATTACATCGGGCTGAATTAAGCCCGATGAAAAGCCCCTCCCTTCCCCCCCCCCCCATTCATATCGCCGGACTGTTTTGTTTACAATTTAATCGTTATATAAAGCACGGCCTTTCGCGTTATCCGATATATGATATTTTTCGTCCGTACGTGAATATCGCTTCGAAAGCCGCAATCTCGATACTCGTTACCGTGCAGCCGGTTAAATTCCAAAATCCGGAATCTGCTCTCGATTAAACTCTCGGCCATCGATCTCTCCGTATCATGATAAAGAGGAGAGCCGCGCCACCGAAGTAAAAGACTTCCAATCAGCGCGGAGCGAACAGCTTTTTGGATCTTTTTCTTCAGCCCGGATCGACTAGCCGAATTCGATGCAAAGAAACATTGTGAAAACGACTCGCCCGCCTTCGGAAACCTGCGCTGGACTTCCGGTAGATCTAATAGAGCCCGCTTGGAAAACGTCCACCGTTCGCTCTAACCGATGAAACGGTTAATCGAGGCCATTGCGGACAACAGAGGTTCTCAAATCGCTCGCTTGTCAATATTTGAGTTTGCGAACTGTGCCGCAGAAACTTCAGGAATGATCGAACCTTTTTCATCTGTCAATCCCCCTGATATATGACGTGCACGTGCTATTGAATTCACTTACAATTATGATATCAATTAGTAATACGCAAAGATTAAAAAAATAATTGTCAATGCTTTCAAGAGCGGAAAAAAACAATTACACGGCTCGATTCTTCAAATATATAACAAATATTTTTTTTTTAATTAATGTTTGTATTAAAAACTATTGCATTATTTGACATGTAAAATAAATTGTTTTTTTTTTTTTTTTTAATAGAAAGTTTAATTTTTCAAAAGCATTCACACAAATTGCTGCTCGACGCTGCAGAATCGCACGATGGCTCTTTGTGGTCCTAGGAATTTTTAATTGAATATTGACATTCAAGCGTTAAATTTCGAATACATCTGAAAGCTTATAGTAATACATGATTCTTTTATTTAGAAAAAGTTTGCAATATCAATTTGGTTTTTCGGGAGGGTTTCCCGCATTTTCTTGGGCCGCACTCCAAAGTGCATTCGCTGCATACGGACGCATTGAGCATACGCAGCGGTCCTGGAAATGCGAGGCGGCGTGAGGGGTAAGTATCAATAATTGAGCACCATGTGGGTGGCTTCGCTTGGCCATTTAGCGGTCGAACGAGGGGGATGGTCCGCGGCCGGGTGCCTACGGTACGGGGATATCGGTAGATGTATCGCACGGCGAGGCCTGCTATCGACATGTCGACGATGGCAGACCGGAGCTGTATATTCTACGATATAGGAAACTATCCTAGTCGCGATCATGATACGCGAAAATACCATCTGTCATTCGGGAGTGCGTGCCGAGTCCCCTCCCCCCCCCCTCCGCCTCCCCCTCCCGCAGCGCCGAGGTTTTTCGGCCGCGTCGCCACTCCCTCATATTCGCGATTCTCGATTTTTTTCGCGTTTATCGACGACGAAGCATAACGGAAATGAGAAACATCAGAATATATTGTGTCTCGCAATTATGAGAGAACGGCGAGCGGGGGAACGTTCTAAAAAAAAACACTTGCATCTCGTCGTTGTATATTAATTTCCATTATATTTCCATCTGAAAACATTGTGTACTCCTTATAATTGCGCGTGTTACACATGCCCGGCATTACGTGCGTCGCTGTTATATCGCTGTTTATCGAATTTTCCACTAACCTTATTTAGCGACTGGGATGTGCTCGCGTACCGCAAATTAGCGTGATCCACTTCGGCGGCACGTAATGGATAATTACGTTGTAAAATATGCATCGGCACTTTCGCAGTCGAGTTGGGTGCGCGAAATTGCGCCGTTGCCATTAAGCTGCGAAAATGTTTTCTTAAATAGTATGACCGTAAGACCCAGTTAATCCCGGATTCCGGAACAATGCGGGATTTGAAACAATTGGCTGCGAACGGACGAGTATCGGGAACCGCGCTGCCGCCCGGCAGCCGTGAATAATCGTGACCCATAGTCGGATTCACTTTCCAATTAAAGGTCCCGATTTGCATTCGACTCCAATGCCGCTGATCGGAACGCGCCACCGAATAGGGGGGGGGGAGGGAAAGGGGAAGGGGGTCGATGACCGGCCGCGCCATCGAAAGTAGCGAGTAACGAGAATGGCGATAAATCGATCGAACGTGTCAAACAATATGTCCTTATCGTAGCTCGAATATCCCGGAATATTGTGCGGTGTCGCGCGCACGGTTCAGATTTATATCTCACTTAAGAGAACAACGGCGACAGAGATCGCTAAATCATTGTCACTAATTCGCAAGTTTTGCACGCGCGTTTTGCAAATGAATGTAAAATACTTAAAGAAATTACTTCGTTCCGACAATTGTGATTTATATCGTGTTACCGCACTGATCCGCGTGATCTCCGCGAGGACGAATTGTGCACGCACATTTTGGATTTGGCTTCGCCGCGGCGTCTCGCTTTCGCGTTTTAACCCCATTAGTGACCCAGACCGCGGCACGAAGGTCTCGGTCGCACGAACAACCTAATGTTATGTAAAAATACCGCCACCCCTTCCGTGGCCTCCGGTGTGTATATTAATGCACGCCGAGGAAGAGCGAAACGGACGAGGCGTAGACGCGGGCGAGAAGACATCGAACCTCGAGCAGATGCTCCTGCCGGAATATCTAAATAAATCCAACCCGCCCTTAAAATCCCGGAGTCGAATAAGTAATAACATCCACCGACCGCGGCTGTGTCCCATCCTTCCTCTCGCTTTCTCCTTTTCCGTCCGTTACTCCCTCCCTTTCTCTCTCATCCCCGCCTTGCTTGTTTCGCCTGCATAAGCGAGCACGTCCGATTTCGAGACTTTAATTGGCCGGAGGGAATTTCGCCGCGTGGCCTTACTTTACGAGAAAACTTTCGAAATATTTTGAGCTCGGGTCGGGACGGAAGGGAAAACACGTTGCATATACTCTTTTTCCGGTTACACGGGAGAGTAAGTCGGTGAGATTGAGTCAGCGTAGCGACCGCCCGTTTGAAAGATTTGATTTTTATCACGCGGATGCACATGAAACGGTGCGTTTTATGAAAATCTTTGCGGCAATATCTTGCTTCTTTCTTTATAATTTTTTTGGCTCAAATTAAATCGCGAATAATTTATTAATATTCATTCCATCAGGAATTATACACAACATTATATCTTTTTTTTCTTGCTATGTCTATAAATTTTTTGCAAAAACAGATAGATTAGATTCTATAATGAAATTACAGATGCAAAATAATGCTGTCAGGCAGAAAGCAAAATAAGTACTAAGTCTCTGTTTAATCGTTTTATTTTAGAAAGCTGTGGATTTACGTCCTATTTAAACTATAATTTAATTCTGGATTAAGATGCAACGTTCACACGTCGAAGTCTCTTAACTTTCGACACGATCTGTTAATTTAATTATTGGAAGGCAGCGCCATTAACTGCAGCGCTGGCCTTCGTACAGATGGATTAGCGCGGACGGTGGTACGTGTGTGCAAACACGCGACGACACCGAGTTCATCCCGGCGAGCTAGGACGATTTACGAGGTTTCACAGGCTTGTCTGGCGCATAGATAGGGCGAATGTGTCAATTACGATAACGCGCATCGACGATTTATCTGATTCGTCCAATGAAATTATTTAGACGCTTAACAATTATCGCGTCGCGACTCGATCTAAAAATGTACCGCGAGTTCAAATCGCGAAACATTCTTTCCTCGTGTAATAAATTTACGAAATAATTGGATTTGTTACGTTACTTCGCTGCACGTTTCTTAACTCAACTGCGCCATATCACATCCTTAATTATAAATAATGACTAGCCAAGCCACTAGATCTTTCGTTTCAAGAGATTCGTCTACCTTTTCAATTTTATTTTCGTCTCATTACTTTTCTTCAACTTCTGTGTATCTTTTGTTTCATTAGACACAAAGTAATCTTCGTGGTTTGCAAGAGCCGGCTCGTCTGTTTTCACGCGAAACTTTCCGTGCGCGAATCTGGATTCCGAGCTCTCGTTTCCTAAATTATCCCCCGGAAAATCGACGGCTTCTTCTTCGAAGGTTCTCAGGCGAAATCTATTTTGCCTTGCGACTCGCCGGTTCAAATTACGTGCATGCTCTTTAAAGGGGCCGTACTCGAGATACACTCCCGCAGGATATCGATGCGCATCGTCGTCTCTCCCGCGAATATCCGGGACAAAGTGGAGAATCGGCGAATTATCGTAATATGGCCAAACTGGCAATCGCAGACCAAGTCCGTCGTAGATCATTGGATCGCCAAGCTCTGGATCATTGCGAGATCGGGATATTTCGCGATCAGAAGCTTTTAGCATGAAAGGCACTACAAATTCTGCAACGCTCTTCGACTTCCCGCCGTTTCTCAATCGCGCTAGCTTTCGAGCTTCGGGAAAAATTTTGGAATTTATTCGTGGATTCTCGAATCTCGCTATTTCGAACGCTTGTTTCGCCTTTGGATAGATTCCGCGTGAGAAAGTATCATTGCCATTGATTAGCCTCACTTTATTTCTTTTCTTTCGATGTTTGAATCTCCAAGGTTTCGGACTGCTTAAATAAACGTTGGGTTCTAGTTCTACATCTTTAACATAGCTGAATGCGGGTCTTTCTGTTTCCATTAAGCGAATTCTTGATAAAGCACGATCATCATAATACGGCGATCTTTTCATTACCGGCAGTAGCTTCCATTCGACAACACCATTCGACCATTTATTACTTCTTAATCTTAAAAGCTCCAAATTATTCTCAGGTCTCGCATCTAGGTCACCCGGTTCGTCCAACTTAGCCACATATTTCTTCCGAAATTTATTTCTAGCAAGATTATCATCGTCGTAAAGCGAGTCGGTCATTCTCCGGTCTGCGACGCCATAAATTTTCTCTCCTCGTTCCCGCCTGAGATTTTTCAGCTCGATTTCTGGATCCGTTTCCTCGCTTCGATAGTTTGTCGTCCGGTTTAATTTTACAGCGTTATCATCCGCTTCTTTTTCCGCCTGCGAAACTTTCCGCCGCTCCTTCGAGACCCGGGGCTTCGTGTCGTTCGTCAAGTTTACGCGGCTCGTACTTCCGCTCGCCTTGTCAATTTTTGTCTCACGATTTATACCGCAAAGTTTTCCCTTAACCTGGTTATTGGCTCCCGCGCTTGTCGCTAACTTTTCTCTTGTTCCGACTTCCGCGACCGCTGTATCAGTTGCAGCATTGCTTCTATTATCCGCGAAAACATTGATCCTTCGCTCAACCAATTCCAGCTTATCCCCTCTTGCGCCGTTATTACCATTATCGTCCTTTGATTTCAAATTCTTCTCTGACTCGCCATTACCAATTTCAGATGCTGTATAGGTCTTATCGGGACGATCTACGCCTCTGACAGTTGATATCCCGCGAATGTTGCCCTCTCGCTTCGTCCTGGAACTCGCCTCATCGATCGCCTTCCGTTTATCTCCTTCCGCCAATTTCTCGAGTCGCTCCTTCTCTCTCCTCGTGATATTCCTCATGTCTTTGCCAAAGGCGACCTCCTCCAGCTGTTTCTCGTTCTCTCTCTTCCAGGCCTCCCGCTTGTTGAGCAGTATCACTTCGTCCTCCAAGCGATTCTTCCCCTTTATTGGTAACAAATCGAGCATCCTGTCATTCTCTGTCGCCGCGTTTTTCTTATCGACTAATTCCCGTTTCCTCTTCTTTTTCTTCTCCGGCAATTTCGCATTGAGGAGGTCGAACGAATCGTAAATTGTTGGCTTCTCGTAGCCCAAATAAACCGAATTATTTTCTTTTAGATTTGCGCGTTTTCGCCGCGATTTCCCGAATCCCGGCGATAATCGCGCGCGATCTTGATGCTTGCGACGCTTCTTGTGCCTTTGAATTGGCTTTCTACGATTTGCGTTCTTCCTGTTATTGCGGATTTTTTCACGTTTTGTTTTGCGATGTTGCTTTGTTGAAACTTTGTCGAGGCTGCGTATTTCTCTGTGACGAGGCTCAGCGTGACCTAGATATTTGCAAGCATAATAGAATATAAATTTATTATGCTAATGAATACAATCTTCTAAGAATATTAAGAAGAAATACGATAAGCAAAACAATAGAAATTGATGCCAATATCACAAGCTAATATGCAAAGTAATTGTCGAACAACTTCGTCGTGCAATTTTTAGATGAGATATTTCGTGGATGTAATTAAACGGAGTTTAAAAGTTTCGCCGAAGCCGCCATGGTTTTTTATCGACTCTACACGAAAATAGTTTATCGTGTCGTGGTATTTAGACTGAAAACCGATAATCAGTTCCGATAACCAATTTCCCAATAGCGGTAGTTGAAGAAACATCGTCCACACTTGTTTACTACACTTTCTACCGAATTTTTAATATTCGTTTTTTATGTCAAAATAATTGCTTATATTATTTTAAAAAGACGTTGTAAAGATGATAAGTGTAATTACAAAGGATATTTACTATCGTGAAACTGTCTATCCGCGACTTTAAATGATGTGTTGTTGAATCGGAAAAAATTATGCGTACTGATTGGCGAAGAGAATGCATCTTTTGTCATCGGAAAGCTTGCATTTGTAGCGTTAGGCATTGCGCTTTGATATTGCAGGATACTGCCGGTTCTAGCTGCTGCAATAGGCATCCGTGCAAATTTCCCTGCAGCTTCTCGCGTTTCGATATATTGCAAAAGCTGATTTAACTGCCGAATCTAAATAATAATTAAAGTGTTTTTATACAATTTTCAATTATTTTATGATATATCTATACGAAATATTTCTTACTTTAAAATCTTGTCGTCGTTTTTAAATCAACATTAAATCGTAGACCTATAAACAAAAACTTACCAGATAATCGTGGACAGTTCGGACCTCCGTCTTCTCTTTCGTTGTCAAAGCATTATATTCCTTTACAAGAGTCTCCAGCACTTTCACTTTTTTCTGTAGGTTGCTAATATCTTCCTCTCCCTCTCGAACGGAAGTAGCATCAAACAGGAATTTGCGTCTCGAGTCTTGCTCTGGAATAATCTCTTCATGGACCAATGGCAACTGTAGTGCCTGGATTAAGGATTGATATTTATCGATAAACGTATGGCTTGCATATAATTATAAAACACACTTGAAGATTGTGAAACGCACTTCTTCAAATGACTCTTCCTCCTGATCCACTTCCAGCATCCATCCTAAAAACTCTCGCGTATCCGGCGACAGGAAAACGCAAGTTTTTCTTTGCACTTCGTTCACAATCAGCTTACCAAGAAGCTCCATAATTCTCTTCATCATGGTTTCCGTATGATTCATCTAAATTATATAAATTTCAGAAATGCAATAATCCATAATTGTCAAAATTCTTTTACAGATGATATGTTGAAGTATTTCAAATTAAATAATATCGCAATTACTCCAGTCTCGTTAAATCCTTGCCGATAAATTTTATCCACCGCTATCACGTCTTCTGTTTTATAATTGCGTTGAAGTCCAGGAGCAAGGACACTCTTCAATTGATCATTTTTCTGAACCTGGACGCCAATTATCATCAATAATTTTTGTGCAAAAAAATAAAAAATAAATTGAGAGTGCGTCATT